GTAACGAGACCAATTCCCAAGTTCCACTATTATGAAGAGCACTTAGTTCATCTAACATGGCCTGACGCAAACCAGGATGGACTAAAGCTTCACGGACAGTTTTTGGAATGGTCACAAAAGAAAGAGAGGAAAGACATGTATAAAAAGGTAATGACAGTCGATGATAACTCAAACCAATATAATGAGGAGAGGGATTACGTGTAGAACAAATACCTTTTCGGAGGGCAATGGGAAGGTCAGACTCAGGTGTCACATCCGGAGGAGACAGAGTAGTTGGCACTTGAGTAGAGTCACATGGTGGTGGTTGTGATTGGTTTCGGCAACTATAAACCTGAAGAGGTAGTGAAGAAGAAGTTGACTGCGGAGTAGAATCTAATGGTGAAGAAGACACAGTTAGAGGGTCACAAACAACAGGAACATTAAATGTACTAGGAGTGTTGACAATATTGGATGGAGACAGAGGTGAAGATTGACTTTTAAAATAAAAAGAGAACTCATCAAAGGTGACATCTGCAGACACAAAATAACGGTTAAGAGAAGGAGAAAAACATTTGTATCCTTTTTGTGATCTTGTAAACCCTAAGAAAACACATTTATGTGATCTAGGAGAAAGCTTGTCAAGACTAGAACTAAAATTATGAACAAAACATGTAGACCAGAAAACTTTTAGAGGTAAGGGATGAAGTGGTTCATGAGGGAATAAAATGGAATGAGGTATTTTATTATCTAGAACCGAAGATGGCATGCGATTAACAAGATAACATGCAGTAAGAAGAGCATCACCCCAAAAATGCTGAGGAACCTCTCCATGAATTAAAAGAGTGCGAGTTGTTTCAATAAGATGTCTATTTTTACGTTCAGCTACACCATTTTGTTAAGGTGTATAAGCACAAGAAGTTTGATGCAAAATACCATGAGAAGCCATGAATTGTTTAAAAGAATGAGAAAGATATTCACGACCATTATCACTGCACAAAACTCTAATAGAAACACCGAACTGAGTTTGAATTTCATTGAAAAAAGTTTGAAAGATATGAAATAATTCAGAACGATTTTTCATCAAAAATAACCAAGTACATCTGGAATAATCATCAATGAAAGTAACAAAGTATTAAAAACCTAAAGTAGACTTAACGCGGCTAGGTCCCCAAATGTCAGAGTGAACCACGACAAAAGGGGACGAAGCACCACGTGTGACACTACGAGGAAAGGAAGTACGACTATGCTTGCCTAATTGACACGACTCACATGCCAAACTAGACAATTTAGATAAGGCAGGGACAAGTTGCTGTAACTTGGCAAGACTTGGATGACCTAACTGAGCATGGAGAAGAGAGGGAGACTCTATAACTGCACCAACATGTGTAAAGGGACGAAGATGATAAAGACCATGAGACTCACATCCTGTGCCAATCATCTGTTTCGAACTCCGGTCCTGTAAACACACAGAATTATTGGTAAAAGAAACAACACAATCAAGAGAACGAGTTAGACGACTGATGGATAACAGGTTAAAAGGAGACCCAGGGACATAAAGAACATTATCAATGGTTAAAGAAGAGAAAAGTTTAACAGTTCCAACACCATGAGATGATACTCTAGAGCCATCAACTAGTGTAACAAAAGGTAAAGGATCGGGAGAGGATAAAGAGGAGAACAAAGATTTGTTACCGATAATATGATCGAGTGGCTCCTGAATCAAAAACCCAAGGACCGAGAAGAAGATTGGGTCGGACCGGCAAAAGATGTACCTGTGTGTGCGATAGACACGAGTGGAACTAGAAGATCGTTGATCCTTATACCATTTGAGAAATTTGTTGAACATAGCAGGTGTGTCCGATGAAATAGAAGAAGGAGGATCCTCAGCAGATAAAGGTGGGAAAAAATCGGTCCGAGCAAGCTGCGGTAGATCGAGTAGGACGACCATGTAATGCATAACACTTGTCAATCTTGTGACCTAGTTTGCCACAATGTTCACACTCATGTAATGCATAACACTGGTCAATCTTGTGACCTAGCTTACCACAATGTTCACACTTAGGACGCCCTTTTCCCTGTTTGCGAGGGCGAGTTCGATCATCACGGTGAGATACCAATGCAGAAGAATCATTAACGAAGCGGGTGTGTCGGGGTTGAGTTTTGCTTGGTATACGCAAAAGAGTGGAGCAGGTCGATGTCAAGGTGGGGACAACAGGAGAACCCAAAATCCGATCACGAATATGTGAATATTGATCGGCAAGTCCGTGTAATGCCCCTAGCATGAAGAACTTTGATCGTTGTCCTATCTCGGTGGCAGGGTCGGGGGAAGGAGGCAATAACTCATTGAACTCATGAAAAAGAGCATGAATTTTGCCCATATAATCAGTCATAGAATCTTGATGTTTAGAGGCAATAACATCTACAAATTTAGAACAGACGTCATAGAGACGTTGAGTATCATTGGTGTATAATAACTTGGCATGTTCCCAGATTTTGGCACATGTTTCGTAGGAACGAAAAATTTGTTTTAACGAAGGATCAAGAGTACCCTTGAGAACCACGCATAATTGAGCATCAATGGTGTCCCAACGGTCTTCCTCACCAGGAGTGAGAGTAGGTGCTTTCGGGGCAAGATAATCAAGATACTTCTGACTCTTAAGCCATAATCTGACGTCTGATGACCATGTGGCATAATTAGGGCCAGTTAACTTGTCAATGGATAAGTGCACATTAACATAGTTAGTGTAGATGGAAGGATTAGACGCAGTACTGACAGAATTGGAAGTACTAAAAGGAGCGGAAGAACTCATAAAGGGCGGAGGCGATAGTGACAGCGGCGTGAACCAGTACACCAGGTAAGTTCCCAGGAAAGAGAGGTGGGTCACTAATGGACACTCTTAAATACCAAGTCTTTCCTTGTCAGAACTTTCCTAGACATGCACTTTCACACTACCAAATAACCGACAACGATAGCGGCGGTGGTGGCGACTTCAATAGTGGTCAAAGGCGAAAAAAAAATTCAAAATAACCTTAAGCTCTAGATACCATGTTGAATATAGAAGAAATAGAGTTTGAGATTAATCTCCCTTGTGTATAAATCACACATAGGGTAGTCAGTGGCGGATCTTGACCATTGATCTTGGGGGGGCCAAATAATATATTATTAATAAATAATAAATAAATATAAAATAATATATTATTTATAAATAATAAATAAATTATAAAATAATATATTATTAATAAATAATAAATAAATATAAAAGGAAGAAAGAAGATGAAAGGGTAAAAGGATAAAATTGTAGATATATATTTAAATATATTAAATGATCATTAAGTTTGAGGGGGACAAAGTCATAAATTACATGGGAGTTACAAAATTGAGGAGGGGCTGAGAGGATAGAATTGTAAATATACAAGTAAATATATTAAATGTTTATTAAGTTTGGGGGGGGGGGGCCAAAATCATAAATTACATGGGAGTTATAAAACTTTGGGGGGGCCACGACCCCCCTCAGTTCCCAAGAAGATCCGCCACTGAGGGTAGTCTATTTATAGTAGAGAGATACAACTAAAAGAGTAACTGAAAGTAACAGAATAAACAGAAGATATGGTTTGATATTATGGTTAATATCTAACAATATCTTAACAATATTAAATAATATCTAAACAATATCTAACAATCCACTTTAAATTTGAGCTTTGGTCTTTGGCTCATGACCATCCATAGATATGAAACCCATATCTGAATCATGATCAAAGTTTTTCCACACATTATTACTCTTCTTATTTCCCACCATAGATTTACCCACATTATTACTCTTCTTATTTCCACCATAGATCTACACTCGTTACCCATGAATAAGTCATAAATGAGAGGAAAGGATGAAGGAGAAGAAATAAAAAAAAAAGAATATTCAATATTATTATGTATTACGTAAAATAATGATATCTTTATATATATATATATATATATATATATATAATGATGTGAGGAGAATAATTAATAAATACATGACCATACCGAATAAATCAAATACATACATAATCGTAATAAATAAAACTACTTGTTGACACACTTATCTACAACAGAAAACAATTGACCTAGGATATTATAAATGAACCAACATAAGAAAGTTAAGAGCTTTCACAAGTTATAATTATATTAAAAAATATGACCATTAAACTAAGCCATTAGTAAAGCTTTTGTGAAGATGTGAGTTTGTTGTAATTGTGAAGAGACAAAGAAGAGCTTTATGGGTTCATTGTGAAGTTTTTCTCTGATAATATGACACTTAATCTCAATATATTTGGTACATTCATAAAAAATAGGGTTAGAGGTAATTTGGATGGTAGAGTAATTGTCGTAGTATAAGGAGCCAAGTTAAATATAATGTACTCCTAAATCGTCTAAAAGGTATGTGTCAACCATTGTAATTCACAAGTAGTGGAGGCAAGAACTCGGTATTCAGCTTCAGTTGAGCACTTTGAGACAATGGTTTTCTTCTTCAAGCGTCAAGTGATGCGAGAATTACCGAGATAAATAATGTAACTCATTGTAGAATATTGGGTATCAGGACGAGAGGCACAATCAGAATCACAAAAGGTTAGGTGTTGTTATTTTTTTCAAATAAGATACCTTTTCATGGTGCGAGTTTGAGGTAGCAAAGAACACTTTGGGCAGCTTAATAGTGGACCACAGGAAGACCATTGACAAATTGACTTAATTTATGAACAGCATAAGTAATATCCGATCTAGTATTGGTCAAATAGATAGTTAACCAATAGAAATATTTAATTTTTTAATTATTTATATTTATAAATTAACTATATTTATATTATTAAGGAAACCTTAGAGACGGTATAGGAAGCTTCTGGTCGTATTCACAGTCAGAGTACGGGATGTTAGCACAGTTGATGTATTGGGGGATACTATTTGTGTTCAAACATAATCTTACTTAACTAAATCCCCTTGAATACATTTTAGTTGTGGTCTAACACCCAATGATGCTCTTAGGACTGAGATGACTTGGTGTATAGGGTAAAGGGCAAAGGGCACCATGTGATATTCCTGTTGGAAAATTTTGGGTCATGCATATATATGATACATAATTAAATGTGATAGAACAATTATTTATTAAGCCAAATAATAAAGTGATTTGACTAAATTAAAGTTTTGGCTAAAGGCATATGTCATGAAAATAAAATTGTGTAAAGATCATAAAGTAATTTCTAATTTGATGAGAGGCCAAATTAGAAATACTGAAACTTAAGTAATTAACCTAATTCAGGTTATTTAAAGGGTCATGGTCCCCTTCTGAGAGCACACACACAGAACGTAAGTCTCAGTTTCCGTTCCTTTCTTTTTATCCCCATCAAAAGAGAAAATCCACAGGGAAAATAAAGGTGCTCTTCAGGTGGAAGACCATAAGATCAATAGTGCTCTAAAAGGGACATCATCATTATGGATAATTCAAGTACGCTTTCGCATTTAGTCTACAACATGTTTATAAGTATGGGATAATGTTTATGTTTGATTGTTAGAATCAAAATTAGGATCATAAGAGCTACCCATACTTGATTCATGTCTGTTTTTTTTTTTGGAAATTAAATTCAAAATTTTTAGATTCTTTTAATTTACGTGAACCTTAAATTCAAATTTGAGGTAAAATTCTTGCTTGGTTAAGGTTTCTGTTCTCTTTCTTCTATTTTTTGGTTTTGAATTTTCACGATTTGCAATGGGGCCGCGAGGGTGAGTATAGAATTCGGTTGTGGCAAGGAGGGTATGGGGACGCAAACCAGAGGATTGACTACGTCTTCAAGGTGGTGCTGATTGGAGACTCTGAGGTGGGGAAGTCGCAGATTATAGCGAGGTTTGCGAGGAACCAGTTCAACTTGGATTTCAGACACGCACTTTGCTCACCTTCGGGACAGTATTGAGTAGAAGTTTTCAAAGCAACGCCGGTGTGACACCAACGCCACTCACTTGTTCGTTCCCTCACTTCACAATGCCTCCTCAAGACCACCATTAGTCGCTGTTAGCGGAGGAGCAGGAAGAGACTGCATACGATTCCTCAGAGAAGGTTGTGAAAGTGATGAAGATCTTATTTGAATAATTTGATAAAACGAAGATCTTGTTGATTTGATGAAGTCAAATGAAGTCAAAGGCTATTCTGTTGAAGTCAAAGATTATTTGGTTAAAAGGGTAGAGTGATTAGTGAGTCTGTATCTATACATAGGTATAATCATTCATATCTCTCTGCTGCATGAGGTTTCATCATTTAAAAGATTTTGAAAATGCCTCTAAATGTGTTTAATCTGTTAAAAACCAAAGTAATCGGTTAAATGGTTTTTAAGTAATTGTTTTAACTGATATTATATGAGCATTATCAGTTAAAATGTTCTTAACACTTACATAACAGATTTTTAACTGATAGGTTTTCGAAATAATTGATTAAAACCTTTTAAAACATTCACTAGAACTGTTTTAATCGATATATCTTTGAATTAATCGATTGTTTTCATTAAAGGAGTTTTTAAAAACCTTCTGCGAGTATTTTAACTGATATAGATTTGAAATAATCGTTTAAAATGACTTAAAATATTTTGGAAAGTGTTCTGACAGTATTTTAATCGATTAAAATAACTTGAAGTGTTTTGAAAGATGTTCTATCAGTATTTTAATCGATGTAATATCGAATTAATCGATTAAAACCACTTGAAAGGTTTTGAAAGAAGTTCTGCCAGAATTTTAATCGATGTGTTATCAGTTAAAATCAGTTAGAAAGTTTTATGAAAGATTTGGCAGGATTTTAATCGATTAAAATGTGAATTAATCGATTAAAACAACTAAGAGATTTTTTTCAAAGTGTTTTAATCGATTAAAACAGACTATTATCAGTTAAAATCACTTAGAAAGTATTATGAAAACATTTGGCAATATTTTAATCGATTAAAAGGCGAATTAATCGATTAAAACAACTTAAGGGATTTTTTACAAAGTGTTTTAATCTATTGAAACAATGTCGCATCAGTTAAAACAAATATGGAAAATGATCAAGAACATTTTAACAGATTAAAAGAAGTTTTAATTGATTAATTCAAGACTTTTAACAGATTAAAAGATTGTTTTAACAGATTAATTAAACTAGCAGTTAGAACAATTCTCTATATAAACAGGATTGCTTGAGTCTTTTAAAATATACCTTTGAGCAATCATAAGAGCTACTTTCAAGAAAGAATCCGGGTAATTTCTTGAGGTTTTTCAAAGTTCTTTCTTGAGGTAATTTCTTGTTTTGTGAAGTTCTCTATATTAATTCAAGTTTTGTGAAGTTTTTCGAAGTTCTTTCTTGAGGTAATTTCTGCATTTCTTTTGTGAAGAAACTCATTCTGCAGAGCTGCATAATCCGGGTTTGAGTGTTCTAGTTTCTTATCTTTGTTTCTTTTACATTTCATTACTGTATTGTGGGTGTTTGGAAGTGTGGGCACTGGTTTTTGTGGCTGAAATTTGGCTACAGGGTGGTTCAAGAACTGGAATTTGGTTCTTGGTGAAGGTTTAGGTGCAAGGACTGGAATTTTGGTTCTTGTGGTAGATTGAATGTGTGATTGGAATCTGTAATCTGTAAAACATTCAATCTAGTGGAACTCAGCTGGAATTTGGCTGGGAACTGGGCGTAGCCCTGGGATTGGGTGAACCAGTATAAATCTTGGTTGTATCTCTCTAAACCTTTCTCTCTTTAATTCTGCTGGTCAGAATCGATGAGCACTATGGCGACATGGAGGCGTCGTCGTTCTCATGGCAGAAGCTGTGGTTGTTCACTGGAATTTGGAGGGGGATCTTCAGACTGGGGCCATTGCTGGGTACTCACTCTTGTGGCTGCTCATGTGGGCCATGACTATGGTCACTTAGCTGAACTGTGTAGGGATGAGTACCCCACATGGGCTAGGATTGTGCTCTGGCTCATGACTGAAATACCTCTTATTGGCCATAACATCCACGCAAATGAGAGAGTCATTAAATTAAATTTTGGCCATGAAACTTGTCTCGCCTGGAAGCAAAAGAAATCACAAGAAACCGTGTTGAATAGTGTTTGGGTTGAAGAATTAAATACCATACATATATAAATCTTTTGTTCCCAGGTGGTTTGGTTTAGGTATAATTGAAAAGTATTTGTTTTTTCACGAATGACAGTAGTGGTCTCAGCGCCATTATAATTTTTTTTAATAAATAAATAATTATATAAATTTGGTTTTGTTATATAAATAAAATATTCAATTTTTGGTAGTTTAATATTTTTGTGAGCAAATTGAGTCAAAAAGTCACCAAAGTGACCTCTCTTGAATTAGGTAGTTCGTGAAAATATTGAATGTTAGTGTTTGTGTGTATTTTTTATCCATGCGAGTATTGATCGGCCTAAAGGAAGATAAATACTTGGTCGAGTTGCATACACACCTGTGACGGTAAACACGTGATAGTTATAAGGTTTTTCATGTTGATAATAAAATCAATCCAAAGATGGGTTTGTTATCAAACATGCCTTATTATCAGTGTTTGACAATTACAACAAGATACCCCTAGCAGTTAATATTACTGTCTAAAGACTTGATATTGATGGTGCATTGGATGTCTTGAGATGGGTTAAACCATTATTTGAATATATATTTATAATTATTTATTTTATAATGTGAGCATAATTAGTTTATTTCTTTTGTTCTAATCCAACTACAATTTCTTCTGTATCTGCCAATTTGAGTTCTGATCCTCAATGGAACAAATTTTAAGGACTGGAAAGAGAACATTGATATTATTTTTTGCTGCATGGATATGGATCTGGCGTTAAGCACTTGAGCAACCCCCTAATCCTACGGATTCTAGTACCTCTGAACAAAAGAGAGATTATGAGAAGTGGGATCGCTCAAATCGCATGAGCCTAATGATCATTAAGTGTGACATCCCGGAGGTGTATAAGGGCACTATTTCTGAAAACATTACAAGTGTCAAAGAATTCCTTGCTGAAATTAAGAAGCGCTTTGCAAAAAATGAAATATCAAGACAAAGGAAATATCAGGGGAGTACATTATCAGAATGTCTAATATTGTTTTTAAACTCAAGACACTAAATATTGAACTCTCATAAGACTTGCTCATTCATTTGGTGTTGATCTCTCTTCCCGCAACGTTTAATTAGTTTAAGGTATCTTACAACTTTCAGAAGGATAAATGGTCTCTTAATGAGCTCATTTCACATTGCGTATAAGAGGAGGAAAGACTAAAGCAAGACAAGACATAAAGTGCTCATTTTTCAAGCACCTCCAAGGCTAAGGGCAAAAGAAAGATATCAGAGGATTTCGAGAAGGAAGTTGTTAAGGGTCCATAACAAAAGAAACAAACTCGGGAAAATAAAATAAGACTAGACACGTAAAGAAGAAATGTGGTAAATATCATGCTTGGCATGAAAAGAAAGGTATGTTTCTTACTATGGTTTGTTCTGAAGTCAATTTAGCATCAGTACCTAGTAACACTTTGTGGTTAGACTCAGGTGCAACTACTAACATCAGTGTTTCTATGAAGGATTGCCTAAACTACCGGAAGTTAACTGATTCTGAGAGAAGGATATTCATTGGAGATGGCAAATTGGTGGAGGTGGAGGCTATTTGGCATTCTAGATTATTATTGTGTGTTGGTTTTTTATTTAGATTTGAAAGATACTTTTGTCGTGCCATCATTTAGACGAAATTTAATTTTAGTTTCTTATTTGAACAAATCAAGTTATTCTTGTTCATGTGGAAACACTGAATTCAGTTTGTCTTTTAATTTAAATATTGTTAGAACTGGTTACTTTTGGTATTTGCTTGATACTGTGACCACCTATAATGAAATTCTTAATACAGAATCTGGTGGTACTAAATGTAAAATTGACAATATTCACTCAGGTGCATTATGGTACAGGCGCTCCCTCAAGTCACAATCTAATCGTGGCGCTTGGGCTTGTGTTACACTCTTAAAGATATGGTAAGGAGTATGATTTGTCATTCCACCTTACCGGAATCACTCTAGGGAGAGGCACTAAAGACGACAACTTATATTCTAAATAGAGTACCAATTAAAGCAGCTACCAAAACATATTATGAGCTTTGGACTAGGCGACAACATAGTCTGAAGCATTTCCATGTGTGAGGTTGTCCAGGTGAGGCAAGGCCTTATAAGCCAAATGAAAAGAAATTAGACTCTCGAACAGTAAGTAGTTATTTTATTGGTTATGCTGAAAAATCTAGGGGATGTAAATTTTATGATCCCACATTAAAGACAATTTTTGAGATGAGAACTACTACGTTCTTTGAGGATATTGAGTTTGAGAGGAAGAATAAGATTAGGAACTTTGTCTTGGAGGAAGAATCAATAACAATTCCATAACCGATTCAAATAGTTACTTTTGATAAAGTAAGTTCAGAACCTCTACAAGACATTGATGATGAACCCTATACTCAAGATGATTTGGTTGTCCGTCAAGAACAAACTCAAGATCTTCAAGAACCTGTGCATCATGAGCCAATAACTTTGTGGAGATCCACTAATAATGGTATGATGGAAGATGAACAAGTTAACCTCCGTCATGCCATGCAAAGTTTGGCATGCATGAATGTAAATCTAGGGATACTCCAGTTGCTAAGGAAGACAAGTTTAGTCTCAATCAGTGCTCAAAGGGGAATTTGGAAATTGAGGAAATGCAGAAGATTCTCTATGCATCAACTGTAGGGAGTTTGATGTATGCCCAAGTATGTACGCATCCATACATAACATACATAGTTAGGGTTCTAGGTAGATATTTAAGTAATCTAGGAATGAACCATTGGAAAGCAGCAAAAAGGGTCATGAGACATTTAAAGAGAACAAAAGATTATATGCTCACATACAAGAGGTCAGACCAATTGGAGATCATTGGGTTTTCTGACTTAGACTTTGCAAGATGTCAAGATAGTTTCAAATCCACTTTAGGTTACATTTTCATGTTGGCAGGTGGTGCGGTTTCTTGGCCGAGTGTCAAGCAAACCCTTACAGTTTCATCCACTATGGCGGCAAAATTTGTAGCATGCTATGAAGCATAAAATCATGGAATATGGCTGAGAAATTTTGTCGCAGGACTGCAAATTGTGAAAGGCATTGAAAGACCACTTAAGTTACATTGTGACAACAAATCAGCTGTATTGTATTACAACAACAATAGGAGCTCGACTAAGTCAAAATACATCGACATTAAGTTCCTAGTTGTTAAAGAAAGAGTTCATAGTGGAAAGATTTTCATAGAACACTTAGGGACAACCTCCATGATAGCAAATCCTCTAACTAAAGGACTTCCGCCCAAGGTCTTTCATGAGCATGTTGCTTACATGGGTGTTCTATAGTTTGAGGAATCTGTGGTTTAGTGGGAGTTAATTATTTTCATATATTTTATGTTCTATGTTTAATTTCATGTTTGTATACATTAATTTTTGGACATATTTAGTTATCTATATATATGTGGTTTTTTCCTTCATTTATTACACTTTGTACGTTAAAGTTATTATATCGATCTCGATAAATTAAAGTTTGGACCAGTTGAAAATAGACGTGCACAGATCACCTTCACGTAATTTTTCATGCTACACATTTCATGATGAATCCATGTCATTTGGTTATGTCAGGATTAGTAATCATTGTTGGTTTTAATTGTGATTGATGCAATGAAAAACTTGTTTGGTTCTATATCCTGATATGATCAATGAACAAGACTTTTGGAGTATGCTAAAGGAATATAATAACAATTTTGAGCTCATAAAGTCTAACACATTTATAAGGTTATAAGGATATTTATATATTTGTGATCAGTAGGAGATTGTTGGCAAATTTTGGGTCATGCATATATATGATACATACTTAAATGTGTTATGGTCATTATTTATTAAGTCAAATAATAAAGTGACCTGACTAAATGATAAGTGGTAAAAAGTTGATATAATTATGTCTTGAATTATTATAAAACCACTTAACTTATGTTAATTCTAATATATTTTTCTCCCAATATAGGATGAATTCGAGAATATCTTGATACAAGAGTAAGGAGCATAATTATCAGCATAATTGGAGTAAAATTGAAAGAAAGAAGAGCGCTTAAGCGAATAAATGATACGAGGCCCGACCCAAATTCTCTTATAAAAAGAGAAGACAGTCTTAGAGGAGAGGAGGCACGACTACTGTTAGGGTTTTGTCCAATCTTCATCAATTCTTCACTTCTTCATCAATTGGAGCATTGTAATGACCAACATGAGTGGCTAACTTTATTCTCTTAGGATTCGGTGCACTTCCTTTGAACTCTTTTGTATCATGGTGATATTTTGATATATTAATCTATGCTTTGATGTTGTTATTCTTATCCTTTATGCTTTGGAATGATTTATTCTTGATTGTTTAAGGTATGATTGGAAAATATATCTTGAACCCTAGATCACGGTAAGAATATTTGTTACGTTAATTGCCAGGAATGGAATGAATGTATCAAGTGCTTAAACACCCTAACCCTAATGCTGGAAAATCTCTTAATTGTGTGAGGAATCAACATTTATTAGGTTTTCTTATGAATTTCATGTGTGAGGAATCAACATGGATGATTTGAGTAGGTGGCATCAACATTGTTAGGTTAATTGACGTTCTTAATTGATTTAGCCATTACAAAAGAGGGATAAGGAAGGAAGCCAATCCTAAGTACCTTTAATTGATATTTTCTCAACAATTTACAGTTCTTTATCATTTAAATTCAACTCAATTCTTATTTGCAAAACCCAATCTGTTTAATATACTTAGTAAGCATAATTGGGAATTTTCATTGAAACTGTTCCTCGTGAGATCGATTTTTATTTTATCGAAATACTATAC